GTAGTGGAGAAACGGTCCCTTAAGGCCAATAATCTTAGGCGGCGGTCTTCACGGTCTGTTGTTCTACGGCGGCGTCTAGTGCCCCTTGCTCTTTGCGTACGGCCTTCTCGAAGCCATGCCTGACAACACCTAACCACAGTGTCTACACTTCTTTGCACTCTAACTGCAATTGCCCCGAAAAGAAAGTCCAGCTTCCCGAAGTCCCACTATACGGCCCCAAACTCACTAAGGTGACGAAATCGTACTGGTCTCCGTACTCTAGCCATCGTAACCGATCGTAAAGGATGTCAAGAACCAAAATCCGCCAACGTTGATTCTTTACTGCGGCTGAAATATTCATTTTTAGAGCGTTAGTGAATTAAAAAAAGCAGTATAAAAACCGGAATGTCCAACTGATAAGGCTGAAATTTGTTTCACTTGTTATTTACAGTAAGATAAATACATTCACCAACTTTTATTAAATAAAACATTTAAACTGGGTATTCGGATTTATATGTCACTGTTTTATTATAATTTAATGATTGTAAAATCAGCATCATCGACAACATTAATAATGCGTGCGGAAAAGTTATGCGTGCGGAAATTCCTTAACCTAAAAGTCAATGTCACTGATATCGCTGTCAAAAATATCTCTACCTTGCAAAGGAAGATTCTGCTGAAAGCGTTTATTTATACTCACTAAGGAAGGCTGGAGGATTAATTGCAAATAAACAATAAAGCGTCGTTCTTTGCTTTCTTGAGGTAATTTTTTGTGTAAAAAGACTGTAAATTATTGTTTGTTCCTTGAAGTTAATAATAAAACTACAACCAACCGGCTTACGGGACCAAATATTAATCTCTAGTATTTTCTCTTCTGTTGACGTCTTACTTGTGTTAACAGTGATCAAAAAACACTGAATAAGTGGCTAGCAACACTAAAACGTATCTATTGATTCAGGCACACAACTAGATATCTCACACAGACCAAGAAGGTGAAAATGGATAACTTCATAATATCAGTGCAACAACTGGATATCTTTAGATGTCTAGTTAAAGCATGTACATTTTCCTTGTTCTGAGAGCTATATGGTTTTTTACCAGTCTGTAAACATAATTTCTTTATTCAAAGTTTAAGGTGACTAGTTGTTGCACTAAGGGGACGATATACTGAAACATCTGCAATCTTGAATCGAGATGGGTGGATCGAGAGGAGCGAAGTTAGTCCTAAAACCACTATGGCAAAAAAAAGGACAGAACCAAATTTCAGGAAAACGAACGTGAGAAATGCACAAACTCAAGGATGCCTTTTATGTACACGACTCGATCCAAACAACACGATTTATCACCAGACTCCATCTGCCAAATTGATGAGTCCGCTTAGTTCTGCAAACATCCTGCGATATAGTGCATCCTTGGCATATTTATCCTGCCGCACCAGGAGTGATATTAAAATCTAAGTAACAGCCCGAAAAACTTATCAATCACGCTATCGCCCCACATTTTTCATAAGCTCGGCTTTACGAGCATCTGCGTTCAGCAGCAACATCGATTTGGGTAGTCGGAGGATTCATAAAAATACATATCTAAGTTCAGGGCAGAGGCGTGCCCAACATTTGAAAATATAATCGATTCCAGCCCCGAGCCTCGGCATCTCACAGATGAACGCAAATAGTTCGTTACGAACTTAGTTGCAGAAGTGGGCCAGCATTGGGCTAACACTTTCACAACCTGGCAAGACCAGTAATGATTTCAAGCGAGGTATTTTTTTGACATTGAAGCAGCCCCGTGATCTTGATACCCTAGCGTCAGAGGAGCGGGTCGTATCGGTCAGTTCTGAATGCGGGTCTGGAAGCCCGTTGGTACAGTAGTAGAACCAAAGGGTTCCGAGACTGTCTGTTAGAGAAGAGTGACCAGAGTTCCCCAAACTTTTTTGTGTCGTAGACCCCTTGCCATGTTTTTCCGTGTTGGGTAGTCCCCCTACTTACCTGATATTGATTTCCTGTAAATTACTGTAGTGAAGTTTAGTGTTAAAAACTTAAAGTAAAAACACATGTTAATTTATACATTTATTAATTGAATTTAAATTAAAACTACTCAAAATAAAATTTTGTATCTGTTATGTAAAATATACGTAACATTAAATAAACAGGTGTCTGACCAATAAGTGCCCGCATTGGGAATAAGTGCCTGCATTGAAAAAAAAAAAGAAGAGGCATAAAATAAAAAAAAGTGAAAATAATAAAAAAAAGTTTTTTACTTAAAACAGTACAATAAGCGAGTTCGTTTATTAATTATAACATAAACGTATGTTCTACAATAATTTCACTGTTAGTTTGATTAAATTCCTCTTCTTATACGTTTAAGTTATCTAAAAATAGGCAAAAAATTAACGAATTTTAGTGTGTACCTATCCTTGAATTTTCAGAATAATTTAAAAAAATATTTTTTATGAAGGGGGGTTCTTTAAATAAATCAATGCGGGCACTTATTCCCAATGCGGGCATTTATTGGTCAGACACCAATAAACATAAAATAAACTATAAATAAAATAACATAAGCAATAAGTCAATATTTTTAGTGAGAAGGATGAACCTGATGCTTTAATAATAAATTATCAACATTTGGCGTCAATTTTGTAAGGGTTAATCTTAAATCTCCTCGGCTAATGATGTCCAGTCTGTTTCTTTTTTTCGTTAGGAGATTGGAAACAGCGCTGAACCCCCTTTCCACTAGGTATGACGATGGAAAGGAAATTAAATATTTCCTCGCTATATTCCATAATACGGGATAAGTAACGGGTATGTTGTTTTGCAGCCAGAATTGCTGATATCCGTTTTTAAACTGAACCTTAAGTTCTTCTTTTGTACTTAGTTCCGTCAGTTCCTCTTGTATTATGACATTCGTTTGTTCTATGTCACCATATGGATTAATTATCCACGGTGGTATTACCAAGGTCAAAATATCCTCAAACCTAGATTCAAAATCTGAATAGAGGGCATTTAAATGTTGAATGTAAGTTGAAACGTCGTCTTCCTGGCAGCCTGTCTGTGACAAATTGGGGAACTGAGAAAATTCGCCCCGCCCAATATTTTGCTTCATTAGTTTAACTCTGGCAAGAAACGCTGATAAGATGGACTTGGTTTTAATCAAATTTAAACGGTCGCCTTGTACTTGCAAATTAACCATATTAAATTTTGTAGACAAATCTGTTAAATAGGCGATGTCTGTTTTCCTCTTCATTAAATTTTCTTTAAAATTTTATCTTTAGTATCCAGAAATTCTAAAATAGTCTCAAAAAGTGCAAAAAATCTTGTCAAACATAAGCCTTTCGACAGCCAGCGTACTTCAGTGTGAGGAGTAATTGATGATCAAACAACTGCTCAATTAACCGCGTATTCAACGCGTTGCTTCGGATTCGGTTTACTGCATCAATGACTAAATGAAGTGATTCATGCAATCTAACACTAAATTTTTAGCAACTAAATGTTGTCGATGGATGACGCAATGTATTGCTAACACCCCTGACACATTTTGTTTTAAATAGCTTATAAATCCACGATAACGTCCAACCATGTCAGGTGCTCCATCTGTAGCTACTGATACTATATTTGATAAAGGAATTGCTTTTTCAATGAAGTAATCCTTCAAAACATGAAATATTGATTCACCTTTAGTGTCGGTTATAAAAGTTCTTGCGAAGAGCAGTTATTCGTAGATTTCTTGATTCATAATAAAACGAACATATGCCAATAATAATGCTGCATTATCAGTTAAAGTTAACTCGTCCAGTTGTATAGAGAAATGAGTCGTTTGCAAATAATTACATAAGAAGCTTTCAATATCAGAACTCATTTCATCAATACGTCTTTCAACAGTATTGTTGCTTAAGGGAATTCTTTTAATGATATCAGATGCAGGTTTGTGTAAAACAGTTTTTAAAACCTCTTCAACGGCTGGCAAAATTAACTTCTCTCCGATAGTATGCGGTTTTCCGGATTTTGCTATAAGTAACGAGATATTGTAAGACGCCCGCAAACCATCATCATTTCTTTGTGACGTCGAAGCGAACATTCTGTCCCGTGTAGGTCTCTTCTGAAATTTATCTTTGAGTGTTTGAAAGTATCTCAAATCTTTCTCTGTTTTATCAGGGTGGCATCTTTTCAGATGATCTTCCAGTTTAGATGGTTTCATAGCGTCATTGCCCAAAACTTTGTTGCATAAAAGGCACATAGGCGATTGTTTGTCCGGCAATGATGGAATGAAGCCAAATTTCAAATAATCAACACTGTACTGTCTACATTTCTTTTTAGATTCGGACATGGCATCAGTCATCTGTCGGCAAAATTAAATTATTTAAATAAGACAGAAAATCCAGCAGCTGTATATTAAAAATATTTTTTGATTTTTCCGAAAACATTCCATAATTCGAACATCTTCTTGCAACAATTAGCTCAAATTACGGAGATTGCACTGTAATTATATTACCGATTGCTAAAACGTTCAAAAAGAGACTATTGAGGAGTACTCGTGTAATTTTGCATGATTGAATATTTAACTACTAATAACTAAAGTCATGACTGCCGTAATTTATCTATCTTTGCTAACTACGAGTACAAAACTAAAATTTACTAAAAAATAATGTACTTACTTTTCTCCAGCACTCTCAAACAAAATAACACTGACTCACTATAATTTGTGTGATATACTATCTGTTTATATTTTTTAAAATATTTTCTTAGCACTTTCCTTTTCAAGATTCAGGAAACGAATAAACGTATTTGTCCCACATTCGTATTTATAGAGTGACGAATTGAACAAGTCAGTGCAAGGTATTGAAGCTCTGAGACTGCGACTCTCAGGTTTTTACAAGTTCAAAATGTATTGCGACCACAAAGCGAATACCAGCATCCAACAACTTACACAATTTTATAAACATATATAATAAATTTTTTACTCCATAGGTACTTTTATAAATAATGTATATGTTTTGATATTATAAGATAGTATGATGTAAGTAAATAGGTACTATCAGTGTATGTGACCCCCATATTGATTTCATGGACCCCCAAATTTTTTTTCGCTGACGTAGAACCCGTGCAGGTTGTCATAGACCCCTAGGGGTCGATATAGACCACTTTGGGAATCAATGGATTAGTCAGACAATCCTCCTCTGAATAGTACAATACTCGAGGCTAGGCCTTATCTGGACCTTGTACGGAGTAAGGAGATCATGTGCAGAAGAGTACTTCCTAGCCCTAAAGAAATAGCCCTGCTTGTTCCCGGTGATCTGTTGTACTCCGACTAGCCGAAAGGAACAGCTCTTTGGCAGAACTGGGCCGTCCATCGGATCCCGATGAACGCTAGGATGCTTGTTGTTTGTCAAGGTACAGTACTGTGTTTTGGAAACAACAATACTGTTGCGTCCCCAAGCGGTGACATCCTCCAGGTCTCCTGTCAGAGAAGTCGCTGCTTGTCTGTTTTTATTCGACTCACCTCCAGAGATGGGCTTCTCACTCTGTGTTCCTGCATGTAGAGTGCTTTCGTCAGCAAAGCTGTGGATTGGACCGATCGTACAGGAAAAAGCAGAATAAAATGTATAGAATGTTCTTCTCTACCAACACTAAACAGCGTGTTAGGTACAAGAACCTACAATCGTTGGGTATCTGAACTCACTATTTGAAATCGTAATTGTTCTAAGGTCTACGATTTTATGCTGAATTCCCTGAAAAGTCACATAAATATTGTTATAATTTTTTTGTTTTTGAGGTAACGACACAAAGCAAACAGTATTGAGTTCTGTGATACATGCTAAATTAGAGCAAATAACAAGACTTCAGTCCTCTCAAAGCTGTGAAATTGTGCGATGTGAATAAGTAAATTGAAATTGAAAATTTGATTACACAAAAAAATTGTATTATTTATGAAACGTCTGCTATATATATACTAAGTGACATATAAATCCGAACACCCAGTTTAAATGGTTTTATTTTAATAAAAGTTGGTGAATGTATTTATCTTACTGTAAATAACAAGTGAAGAAATTTTCAGCCTTATCAGTTGGACATTCCGGTTTTTATACTGCTTTTTTTAATTCACTAACGCTCTAAAAATGAATATTTCAGCCGCAGTAAAGAATCAACGTTGGCGGATTTTGGTTCTTGACATCCTTAACGATCGGTTACAATGCCTAGAGTACGGAGACCTGTACGATTTCGTCAACTTAGTGAGTTTGATAGGGGCCGTATAGTGGGACTTCGGGAAGCTGGAGTTTCTTTTCGGGCAATTGCAGTTAGAGTGCAAATAAGTGTAGACACTGTGGTTAGGTGTTGTCAGGCATGGCTTCGAGAAGACCGTACGCAAAGAGCAAGGGGCACCGGACGCCGCCGTAGAACAACAAACCGTGAAGATCGCCGCCTAAGATTATTGGCCTTAAGGGACCGTTTCTCCACTACCAGGTCCACTGCAAATGAATGGTTTGCAGAACACGGAAGACCTATTGGCATGCGAAGTGCTTACTGACGAATGAGAAGTTTTGGCTTGTTTTCATACCGGCCACACTGGGTCCTCCCTTTAACTCGAGAACACCGACGTAATCGCCTTGAGTAGTGCAGACAACGGTCACTCTGGGATCAGGAATGGAACAGTATTGTCTTTAGTGACGAGTCTCGATTTTGTTTAGGCATGCACGATGGTCGTGCCAGGGTTAGAAGGCGACGTGGTGAAAGGAGGAATCCACAGTTTTTTGTTGAAAGACATGTTCATCACCCTGTTGGAGTTATGGTTAGGGGTGCTATAGCTTATGGTTCCAGGTCACCTTTAATCTTCATCAGAGGTAACTTGAACGCGCAGCGTTATATCCACGAAGTTCTAGAACCCCATCTTTTACCCTATCTTGACACCCTGGCAGATCCAACTTTCCAACAAGATAATGCCCGACCACATGTTGCAAGAGTCACAATAGACTTCTTTCAACATAATGATGTCACATTGTTACCATGGCCACCAAGATCTCCCGAGTTATCCCCAATTGAGCACGTGTGGGATATGATGGGTAGGAGATTGCTCAATTTGCAACGTCCTCCTCAGACTCTAGAAGCACTTCGAGGAGAGGAGTTGGTGGTTGCCTGGAATGAGATACCACAGGAGGACATTGACCACCTGATCAGAAGCATGCTTAGGCGCGCTGGAGAACGCGTAGCACATCAGGGTGCATCCACACATTATTAAAGGTCAAAGGGCTTTAAAGCAGTGCAATCATTTTGAAATTTTTATCATTTACTTATTATGCTTCATTAAGTACTTATACAAAATTTTATTAAAATAAAACCATTTAAACTGGGTGTTCGGATTTATATGTCACTTAGTATATATTTAAACGATATTGTCTAAATATGAAGGCGTTGACTGAAACGAATTTGAAAATGATCTTGTTTGTTCTCTTTGTTCATATTATTATTATTATTCAAGTTTTTCATGATTCTTATATAACTCAGTTTCCAACTATATTCGAAATTGCTCATCCACTTGATGAGAAAATGAGTAATTGAAAAGTGGTAAACAGCTAGGCCTAGCGATAACTCTTATAAAAATTTGTTTTAAGTTAATAGCTTCCCATACCTGAAATACGTACATTGTCTACTTTGCCTACATCGACTACGTGAATGCCCAGAAGAGACATGATTTTTCAAATTTTATGCGTGGAAGGTAAGAATATTTTTGTGAACATTAACATCGTTTTACATTCTCACCACGGTACCACCCCGTGAAAGGAAGACGCGAGTTGTACGTTAAATCCCACGCTTTCAACATGACAGCTTTTTACTAGTATACCTATCAATAAGTCAAATCCAATTATTAGGACCGTAAAAACGAGCCTTTCCGATTCAAAAAGCAGTCAATAGGCCATCTGATATGCAAAATCATATTTTTCTACACAGCCCGATATGCATCAATAGCTCTATTATTTGCGCTATTTTTGCATCCA